TAATATATTCTATTTGTTATATAAAATGTAACACAAAAAGAAAACCTTTTACCTAATTATTACGACAATTTTATCCCCTTTTCGTAACTTTTCTCCTAATAATTATTTTATGCGTAAAAAGATAGTTTTTATATAAGTATTAATATATCGTTAGATACTAAAGTCCATCCTAATATTTGAATAAATATAAGTCGTATAAAAATTATTTAGTGGTTAGATACATTTTTGTCGCCCAAAAAATCGCGTGTATTAATCTATTAATTAATAAATAATACTATAAATTTCATTCATTACCCGACCACTTCCTATATAAACGCTATAATATTGTATAATATATTGTTCTATATATATTGTTCTATTTATTGAGACTAAAAAATAATAAATAAGGAAGCACAATGTAGATGTTTACGACACGCTTGTATTTATTGCGCGCAAAAGAAATGACTAATGACGGCAGATAAATTTATGAGTTTCCTTAATCTTTTTCAATAACTCGCGAGGTGCAAATTTTATGGAATCGATCATTTTAATATACGTAAGTGCACTAATTGCAATTACTAAGACGCATATCTAATGCTGTTTCGTGATGTTGCTAGCAGTTGGAAAAGCGTCCACTATGATGAACAACATTCGAACGGTATTGTCACCACTTCTCATTATCAGTTACGTGTTTGGTACTAGAATTGTTGAGTTTCCTGCGAGTGTACCGAGACCATGGCTGAGTCGGCTATACATAATTCTATTGTGGTCAGTTTATCATTTTCTATTAGTGCATATGAATATATATTACATACATCCAAATCATATCGTATTTTGGTTTTGCTTTTGGCTGAATATTTCTACAGCGCTTGTGACAACTGTACTTGGAATGTATCACGATAAGGTAAGGGATAATGCTATTATATTCGACTCATAATGAATGCTTCCAGTTGTATCAACCTAAATGCTAATATATTAAAACTTTAAGCTATTATAATTTATAAAGTTTGTTCGCAAATGAACATTAATTATTTCCCTACTGTTATATATTGTGCATTTGTGTCAGAAATTTAGAAGTTGCCTGAAGAAGCTCGATATCGTGGACGACACGCTCGAAAAGCTCGGTACAATAACGAATTATCATAAATTATATGTGAAGATACTGTTGATTGCTTTAGGATGGTTAGCGTTCGTCTTATGGTTGGCTTATAGCCATGCTTTTTGGCATCGACACGGTAACATAGCAAAATCTTTCGGTACTGCCATTATGCTTAAATATGCCTATTGCATTAATCTCATCGATGATTTGATTGTCACAAGTACTTTTGGGTTAGTATACACTGGTATCAATATTATTTTAATTTTAACAAAATTCTATTGCCGCAACTTAAAAACATGAGATTTAATTTTTAAAAACATTTTAAGAATCTATCTCTCTCTAATACATATTGATTATTAGAAGCTTGTAAAAATTCGTCGGATCGTCAATGATTTCTTAAACTCAAACGATGAATGATCGTCAATGATTTCTTAAACTCAAACGATGAATGATCGTCAATGATTTCTTAAACTCAAACGATGAATGATTTTACGCACGCGAAATCGGACAATTACCTGGAAAGTGAATAATGATGGTTTTGATTCAATATGATACCGATTGTTTCATTACGGTTATTGAGGAAAGTATAACTAATCATCCGACAAATTTTTTCAAAATCCTAAGTTGGTAGCTCTCATTTGTTGACCACTGATATTCATCGCTGTCATTTTTAGGTATATTGGATTAAAATTTGACCAAGTAAACGAATATCTTCGAAAATTAGAAAGCGATAAAGAGCATGTGGTAAAGAGAACTTGGGGACATTCAACGTTATTTCTGCGACGAACCGAATTTCCAAAATCTACGAGCAGCGAATATAACATATGGATCGTAATGTATTAAAAAAATTTATCTCTTGAATAAATTGCGACAATACCGTATGAAACTGAATATTTTGTTTTTACAGACATCTTCATTTAGAATTACGTAAAATATCTCGGGAATTCAACTCAATATTCGGATCACAAATGGTTATCAAAATGGGAGCCTATTTCGCTTTTACAGCATTAGGAATTAACAACGTTTTCGACGTAATGCTCGGCAATAGTAATTTCCATAAAGGCAAACTATCTCTCATCTTCATTATAACGATACTTTTTGTGAACATCTTTAGACTTCTCATAATTAATTACATATGTGAGAAAGTTGGCAATAAGGTATCAGCTACATTCATATTCCATATACACCTACTTCGAATTTATTGCTTATCTCAATTGCTTGGGCAGAAAACTATGTTATAGTTTATTTTATTGAATTTTTTTATTGAAATATTTTCTATTGTATTACGAACAATTCAATTTTAGGCCAACGCAACAGGAGATGTTATAAGTAAAATACCATATTCCACTTATGATGTTGTGGTTCGCGAAAACGTAAGATCTATTGTTTCTAAAATAAAAACGCGTCAATATAATCATATAACTATGTTAAAGAAAATAATGTGCCAATACAGATTTCGCTATTTCTATTGCAAATGAATCTAGCACCGCTCAGATTCTACGGACAAGGTCTTTTCCAGTTTGGTCTCAAATTCTTTCATGGAGTATGTTGAAATTATTTTATAATCATCTACTCTAGACGCTGAGTACTTAAAACAACGAAATTTTTTTTTACAGTTCACCAGCTCCGTTACCACCGTCATAGTCATATTAATACAGTCAAATACAAAAGCATAAAAGCTACACAATATACGTAAGCATAAAAATATATTATGAGAAATATGTATAAACAACTTTTCATTCTACTGAAGATTAATCGTTTTTTTACATAGAAGTAAATATTTTTTACTCTGTTATTTCATCAATTTTATCTTTCTTGCTGTGTGTCTCTCTCTCTCTCTCTCTCTCTCTCTCTCTCTCTCCTATTATTATTTTCATATAATATTCTTTGTAAAAAAGCAATTTTGTATTTCTGCTGATACAAAAAAGAGAGGAATAAATATATCTTAATATTAAAGCAACAATTAAGTGTATACATTTTCTTTCCAGTAAATTGAATTGTATTCTTTTCGAACCAATTGGATAATATAAATTTTCTTTTCAAGTAAATACATTCATTTTATCGATTGGTCAGATCGTTTGAGAAATTATATGCCAATCTATCAATTGAAAAACAATACAATATTGCAATATTTATTTGTCACCTAATTATTTTTTAAATATCAGCCATGTCGCGCGATTAACAAAGGGTGCAAATGAAGTCTGGGGAAATACAACGCCGATGTTTACGAAACGGAAGGATTTGTGAACGCGGAAATAAGCAACGAATACATACGAAATGGAAACATACGAAAGCACACTTTTTACAGTAGTTTGTAATAGGCAGAATTGAAAGGATCGATCATTTCCATCATTTTAATATACGTAAATGCTATGGTAGAAATTACTATGATGTGTTATCCGATGTCATTCAGCGATATTGTAGACAACTGCAAAAAGCTTCACGATGGAATGACATTCGATATTGTCACCACTTAAAAAAAATGAATGTCTATTACGCCGTTATTTCATCAATTTTATCTTCCTTTTGTTATGTATTCATATATAACATATATATTCATAATAATATTCTTTGTAAAAAAAAACAGTCTCGAATATCTATTGATATGTAATAACTAGAGAAATATATCCTAATACTCAGCGATATGATGAATTATTCACGTTTTCTTTCTTAGGAAACTTCATCCAATTTATTGATCAATCAAGTTCAGAAATCATATGTATCAGTTTATTAATTGAAAAATATCAAATCGTACACTTATTTTTTACTCAGTTATTTTTTAAACACATGCAATATCATCGCGCAATCAATAGAGGGTGCAAACGAAGTCTGGGAAAACACCAGTGTATGCGACACGGATGCAATTGTTTCGCGTGGAACTAAATAGTGAATTCACGTACATCCATTTTAGAATAGATCGTGATATGCAAAATTCAAAGGATCGATTATTTTAATATACGTAAGTGCTGGTAGAAATTATTACGACTGATTGTCCGACCCGTCGTTTAGTGATATCACTGGCAGTTGGAAAAAGAGGCGACAGCTTGTACGATGACGGTTAACATTCGTGCGGTCTTGTCGCCGCTTTTTATAATCAGTTATATTTTTGGCACAAAAATCGTTGAGTTTCCTGTGGGTCAACCGAGATTGTGGTACAGTTCTTTCTATATAGTGCTGCTGTGGTCGTTACATTATACTCTATTAGCGTATACTTTAATACGTTATGTAGAAAGTAAGTCTTTCGTGTATCAAGTATCTTTTTGGATGAACCATTCGACAGCGTTATTGTCGATTCTTCTTGGAATGTATCACGATAAGGTAGGAGATCGTCAGTATATTCGTTTAATAACAACGAATGTATTTGCTTATATTTTCGTAGATGCCATATTTAACATAAGTGCTTATTCAATTTTTAACACATTGGCCATCATCAGGATCACCAATGACCGTCATCGTAATATTGCCGTATCTTATCAAATAACGCATAAAAAAACAGACAATAGTATATAAATATAAATTAAATGAATGATCCATAGAAAGCCGATATAGCGAGGTAGTAAATATACGCATCATGGCTTATATTCTACTACCGTTAGTAATGAAAACTTTAGATAATCATTGAAGTAATAAATGAGACTCATACACATATCAGGGCAATCAATGTGTTAAGTTACGTTTCTTTGTAATATGTATAAGCAATCGTACCTGAAATAACTTACCACTGTATATCGTATATTTTTAGAAATTTAGAAACTGTCTGAGGAAGCTCGCTATTGTTGACGACACGTTAAAAGAACTAGGAACAGTGGTAAATTGCCACAAATTGTATATAAGGATACTATGGACTGTTCTTGGATGGCTCGTGTTTTCCTTATGGATAACCTACAGCACTGCTTTGTGGCACGGGTCCCGTTGCAACGCTATGAAATCCTTCTACATCGCTTTTATGCTTGAATATGCTTCTTATGTCAATCTCCTCGAAGACCTCTTTATTGCCAGCGTTCTCGGGTTAGTATTTTCGCAATGTGTCTACATGCATTAAAACGAGCCAGACCAACCGGCAACTCGCCATATTTTTTTCCAACCTCCAAATAATATTAATACTAATAATATATACTACTCGCTACAATGTAATAATTTAATGATTTCCCACACTGATGTAGTTTATAATATAAAAATCGGGTGGCTGTTTGTGGCTGACATCCAACAGATGCCCCACCAGATTTGACAGAAAAAAAATAATGGCACGCCGAATGTGGCACGCGGGTTGATCGCCTATATTAGAATGTATTAGGTGTTCCGGTTAATTTTGAGGGACTTTTTACAAAAAAAACACGTTTATTTTAGAGAGACATTAAATTATATTTTATTCAAAATATTCTCCACCGCTAGCTACAGCTTTTTCACGCTTTTCTGACAATAAGTGGATTCCGCGGTAAAAGAAATGTTCGTCTTTTGAAGCAATCCATAGAAGAATAGATTTGTAGCTATAGCCATCTACAGTGCGCCCTCAAAACTAACACTTAATAATTGTCATTATTCATGAGCTTCTTCTACATATTTAGATACATAGAACTGAAATTTGATCAAATCAACGAACACGTTCGAAAGCTGGGCAGCGATAAGAAGTTTATAATACAAGAGGCGTGGGAACATTCCGAGATACGTTCGTGTCAAACATGTGCAAAATCCGTAAGCAACGAATGTATCACATGGATCGTAATGTATTACAAAAATTCATATAAATATGATAAAATTCATGTCGGTAAAGCACAATATGACTGTATATTTTGTTTTGCAGACATCTCCATTTAGAATTACGTAAAATATCTCGCGAGTTGAACACAATATTTGGATTGCAAATGACCGCTAAAATGAGCACTTATTTCGCTTTTATAGCGCTGTGCTTTAGCGAGATTTTCAACATAATGATGATTCGCAATTACGATCATAAAGGCACGCTATACTTAATCTTAGTCATAACGTACCTTATTCTATTTATTTTCAAACTCCTCATCATTAATTATATGTGCGAGAAAGTCAGCATCAAGGTATCAACTTTACTCAAAGAGTTCATATACAAAAAGCGTCTTCTTTGAATTCCCATAAAACAATTTTTTAGCTATAAAATTATGTTGGAATTTATTTTATCGAAATTTCTCTTCTATGCTAATGTAGACGTTTCCGTCGTAGGCAAATGCAACAGGAGATGTCATGAATACAATACCGTATTCCACTTATAACGTCGTAGTTCGCGAAAATGTAAGATCTTTTGTTGTTGCTAAAATAAAAGTCGGATAATGTAATTATATAATCACGTATTAAAGAAAATATTGTATTAATATAGATTTCGCTATTTGTATTGCAAATGAATCTAGCGCCACTCAGATTCCACGGACTTGGGCTTTTCCGATTTGGCTTAAAATTCTTTCAAGGGGTAGATTATAATTACTACATAATTATTTACCACAAACGATAAATACTGAAGAAACGAATTTCTTTTTAGTTCTGTGCCTCCGTTACCACCGTTATAGTCATATTAATACAGACACATACAAAAACATAAAAAGTGCACAACATACGTAAGCATGAAAACATTTTATGACAAATGTGTGAAAATAACTTTTTATATTGTTGAAGATTAATATATTCGCTATTTTTTATAGAAAATGTGCTACAATGCAAGAAATGAATATCTTCTACGCCGTTAGATCATCAATATTATCTATGTTCTGTGACTATATATTCAATGATATTCTTTGTAAACAATCTCTAATATCTGTCGATATATAATGTCCAGAAAAATATATCTTAATATTCAAGTGATGCGATGAATTGTTCTCTTTTTCTTTCTTGTGAAATATTCGTACATTACTTACTACAATTTTTTTTGTAAATCTCTATCCTAATAATTACATTTATCACAAAAATGCAGACTTATTTATTTGCGAATATATTATTAGATAATAAAATATATTCTAATTTCCGAGTGATTATGAATAGTAAATTATTTACTATATTTTTAAATATGTACGATCTAAGGATTGCATTTAAAAAGTTTCGTATGCTCATTTATTATTTACACAACAACCCTTTCATATTATTAATAATTTTCGAAATACACATGTATACAATTATCAGAAATAAAGCCAAGAGTGAAAAAATACCTATGTTTAAAAAGTGACATTTATTTTGCACAATAATAAGCGACGAATGAGTCGACATTTTTCAATAGTTTGTAATATACATAATTCAATGGATCGATTGTACTAAGCGTAAGCGCAGTAATTTCCATTACTATGGTCTGGCATCCGTTTGATGATGTCTAGCAGTTCGAAAAAGTGACGGAATCCGCAATGACGGACAATATTCACGCGGTATTGTCGCCGCTCTTATTTATAAGCTATATGTTTGGTACGAGAATTGTGGAATTTCCTGCGGGACAACCGAAATTGCGGCTTGGTCTCCTGTATATCTTGTTATTATGGTCGGTTTATTTTTTTCTTTTAGCGTATACCGCATTTGATTACGTGTCTACTTATTCCATCATATACCATGTGTGTTTTCAAATGGATATTTTTATGGCGATATTATCAACTGTTCTTGGATTGTATTACAATAAGGTAAGACAAATTTAGTAGAATCGTTCAGTAATAATAAACGTTCTCATTCTTTCACGCGTGGGCTTGCAGCAACAACTCGTCATAATAACATATATATATATATATATATTAGTGCAACACATTGTACCTATTATAAAACGATCATCTCATTATTTTCCTATTATGTATTGTTTCCTTGCATCAGAAATTTAAAAATTGTCTGAGGAAGCTCAATATCGTAGACGACTCGCTAGAAAAGCTCGGAACTATGACAGACTATCAGAAATTATACACAAGAATGCTATTAGCCGTCTTTGGGTGGTTTCTGTTTGTCATGTGGAAAATTTTTTTCAACGGCATGTGGTTCACGAGACAATATGGGTCTATGACAACTTTCTACGTGTCCTTTATTATTCATTACTGCAATTTTCTTAATTTCGTCGATGATTTGATTATTGCAAGTATCCTCGGGTTAGTATATTCTCATACAATTGTTTTAATGATACTAATCTATTATTGCGTACGAAAATGATTAAGCTTTCGTTATGTCTTAAAAATTTTAATATACTGGCTACTACTAATTAGACTTAATAGCTGACGTTATTCATTGGTTTGTTCTACATTCAGATATATAGAATTAAAATTTGACCAAATCAATGATTACCTATGCAAATCGGAAAGAGATGATGAGTACGAAATTAGACCGTCATTGAACGACTTCGTCTTATACCGTCCACGTCAAACCAAGTCCTCGAAATCCATGAACAGGGAATATATCACGTGGATCGTAATGTATTACAAAAAAAAACTACGAAAATTGCAAAAACGACCCTGCGACTTATAATTATATATTTACAGACATCTTCATTTAGAATTACGGAGAATATCTCGTGAATTGGACTGGATGTTTGGACTACAAATGACTATTAACATGGGGATATATTTCGCATTTACAGCACTGAGTTTTCGCGAGATTTTTAATATGATGCTTATTAATAATTATGTCTCTAGGATCATACTCTTCTCCTTTTTAGTCCTAGTTACACTCTGTTCACATATATTCAGACTACTGCTTATTAATTATAAATGTGAGAGAATCAATGTCAAGGTACCGACAATATATACATTCATACTCGTATAGTTTAGATTCATTTTTAACCATTTTTGAACTATTGAAAGTTATGTTCAAGTTAACATAACTGTATTTTTCGATTCTACTTCAAACGCTTTAATTTTAGGCAAACGCAACAGGGGATCTTATAAATAGAATATCGTATTGCACTTATGATATTGTGGTTCACGAAAATGTAAGTTTCCTGCAGTTAATAAATATATAAAATATATGATAATTTAAGCTAATATATAAATGTATTATTATATCAATACAGATTTTGCAACTTTTATTGCAAATTACTCAAGCTCCGGTCAAATTCTATGGACTTGGACTTTTCCAATTTGGCTTAAAATTTCTTCATGGGGTATGCCATAACTACCGATATCTTTTATAAATAATCCATTATAAATATATGTCTGAGATATGGAATTTCTTGTTTTAGTTTTGCAGCTCTGTTGCAACCGTTATAGTTATATTAGTACAATCGCACATTAATAAATAAAAAAAATATATATATAAAGATTAGGACATGTTAGTATATATCATCTATCGTTGCTTGCCTAGTTTCTTCGTCCAGTGCTGTCAAATCAAGGGACGCAGGATACATTAGCGCATGTGCATAAGAAGCAATGATTAACGTGTAACGCAAGGCCGTGCACTGGTCGAAGTCATCTTTCTTTGTAATATTTGCCTTCATAGTGGAAATTCTAAAATGTACAAAATCACAATATTTTGTATTTCACTGTGATGATGATTTTATCTTTCTCTTGTGACTCTTTTCTACTTCTAATTATTGTATTTTTCGTAACAAGTACAATTTTATATATCTGCTTATATATTATTAAATAGCAGAATATCGCTTAATGTTTAATATATAGATAAACTTATCAATTAGAATTTCACCATTTTTTCAAGCGATGTCAAAAAATATTTTAATTTTCTTGACAAATGTATGATGTATGTATAGTTGATATATATTGTAAATTAATAAAATATACGCCAATATTCTAATAATGGCAATTTGTGCACGATTTATTTTACGAAGAAAGTCAAGCGACTTATCGATTAATACTCTCTTTCTATCAATTGAAATCATACTATTACATATTATCAAATATTATTACATACTTTATTCGACATCCAAATATTTTTTAGACACACACAATGCTATCGGACCTGACAGTGACAAAATAAAATAACAAAAAGAATAAAATCGATGTTTGCCTCGTAAGTGAATTAATTCCTATCGGAAGTAAAACGATGGACTCATTATTTGTTCTTTTTCAATAGCTTACATATGCAAAATTCAACTGATCGATGGCTACAATACCCGTAAGTGCCATAAATGGTATTACTAAGTTCTGCTATCTGATGCCGTACGATGATAATGTTGGCAGTCCAAAGCAGGAACGACTGCGTCCACAATGACGGACGACTTTCGCGCGATATTATCGCCGTTGCTTTTTATAAGTTATGTGACTGGTACAAGAATCATAGAATTTCCCGCGGATGAACCGAGATCACGGCTCAGTCTCATATACATATTATTATTGTGGTCGATTTACTTTTTTCTTTACGTGTATACAATACTTCATTACGTATTTAATAAGTACGCTTTATATTATGTTTGCTTTTGGCTGGATGTTCTCACAACAATATTGTCAACTATTCTGGCGGTGTACCACGACAAGGTAAGAGATAATCATACTCGTTCAGGAATAATAAATAATTCTTTTTATATTTCAATAGCTACATTATTCTAAGTTATACGGTAAAAAATTTTGCATTAAAATTTTGTGTTACTTCAACATAGTGAACGTATTAAAAATTAAATATGCGTTAAAAAATACACAAATATAATATTAAATTCATTATCTTGTCAACATATGTTTAAATAATGTATTAAAGTAACATAAAATTTCAGTGAGCCGTTTTCAACGCAAAATTTTTTATCGTGTAGAACTTATCAATCCTTTGTGCTTTAAAACCATTGTAGCGTTTGCTTATCAAAAATTTCTTCTAAAACTGAAAAACATCGCGATCGCACTTTTCGAGCTTTAAATCCAAATCTAAAATAACTATCACTAATTTTAAACTGGTTAAAGATCCAACAGAGGAGAAGAGAGGCGGCATATCCCCGTAATGTTTTTCGAGTTTAATGAAGAATTTGAAACAGCGTCGCGCTACTGCCTTTGACGAATAAAAAGTTAAAAAATCTTCAAATTACAATTCTTTATAATACCTATCGATGAAAGAAACGTAATTATTTTTTCACGTCTAATATATCATTTGTATCAGAAACTTCGAGGCTGTCTAAAGAAGCTCGACGTCGTGGAAGATACGCTCGAAAAACTAGGAACAATGACAGATTACCAGAAGTTATATACAAGAGTGCTGTTGACCATCTTCGGATGGTTTACGTTAGTAATGTTCAAGACGTATAACAACAGTTTAGTATACACAGATCGCTGTGGACCTGTAGAAGCTTTTTATATTGCCTTTATTATTGATTATTGTCCTCATGTTAATCTCATCGATGATCTGATTATCGCAAGTATTCTTGGGTTAGTATATTTTTATATAAAAATTACGTTAATATAAGTTATAAACTTGTTATAAAGTTGTTATACACATTCACGTATAAAACAATTAAGCCACTTTATTGTCACTATTCACTAGTTTCTTCTATTTTTAGATATATAGAACAGAAATTCGACCAAGTCAACGAACATATTCGGAAATTGGACGAAAATAATAATATAATAAAACAAACATGGAAACATTTCGCAATTTCTACGCGCCAAGCAAGATACCCGAAATACTCGAGCAATGAATATATGTCATGGGTCGTAATGTATTATAAAAATTCACGAAGATTTAATAAAAATCGCGACTATCCTTCGAACAGCGTAATTTAACATCATGTTTTCGCAGACATCTCCATTTGGAATTACGGAGAATATCTCGCGAATTGAACTTAATATTTGGACTACAAATGACCGTCAAAATGGGATCTTATTTCACTTTTCTGGCGTTGAGTCTAAGGGAGCTTGTTCATATGATAATTGTCACTAATTACTTCACTAATAACAAGCTACTAATATGCCTAACCGTACTCCTTCTATACATAGTTAGACTCATGCTCATTAATTACATGTGCGAGAGAGTCACCGTCAAGGTACCAATTACACGTTCGTACTCGAGATGCAACTTTAATTTAACTCCTAGCGATCGTTTAACTGTTATATTATATTCAAGTTTGTCGCATGGCCACTTCGATTCTGTTTCAAATGTTTCAATTTTAGGCAAATGTAACGACAAATCTCATACATAAAATATCGTATTCCTCAAGTGATGCTGTAATTCGTGAAAACGTAAGTATTTTATTTTATCAATATAATAAATAATTTAAGTGAATATATAACTGGGCCATTATATTAATGCAGATTGGGCAATTTGGATTACAACTGATTCAAGCTCCGGTCAAATTCTATGGACTTGGACTCTTCCAGTTCAGCTTAAAGTTCCTTTATGGGGTATAATACAGCTATTAAATAATTACTCACAATAAACAATAAATTTCTGACATTTTTGCTCTTTTAGTTTTACAGCTCTATCACGACCGTCATAATCATATTGGTGCAATCAAATACAAACGGTAAGTTAGAAAAAATATGGCTAATAGAATGTAAATAACATTCACCTCTTCGGAAATTAATATTTGATATTTCTTGTAGAATATGCTGCTAAGTGAGAAATTAATATCTCCTATTCCGTTATTACAATTATTTTATCTTCTCTCTTTGTTTTCTGCGAATATATACTTTCCTCTCCCGAAAAGAGGAATAATTTTACAGGTGTTCTCTGAATTTAAAATGATCGGCAAATTTTCAATTCTTTGAAACACTTTGCGGAATATTACTATGCGATCATTTTTCACAAAACCCATTAATTAGAAGTTTGTTATTTTCTCCTACCAATTCAAAGTAATAATTTAATTTTAATTTTTCTGACAAATATACGTTTCTCAATATATATTGTTAAATAATGAAATATATGATAATATTCCGATAGTAATGAAATGTAAATTATTCACTTCACGAAGAAACCTATAGCATTCATTGATTAATACCGACTTATTAATTAAAAAGCAACATTACTCCAATTATTTTCTAAACACACGTAATATTATCGTATGATTGCTAGTGTGTAAAAATAAAAACGGAAAAAGGCAATACCGATATGTTCAACATGGATACATTAATACCGTACGAATAAAAAATGACAAACTAATCGATAGCTTTCTTCGATAATTCGTGATAAGCAAAATTCACCGGATCGATTGTTATAATTTGCGTAAGTGCAATAATTGCAATTATAAAGTTTTACTACCTGATATCGTTCGATAATGTCGCTAGCAGTTCGAAACAGCGACAATAGCGATAATTGAGTCCACAATGACGGACAGTATACGAGAGGCACTATCGCCGCTCCTTATTATCAGTTATGTGTTTGGTACAAGAATTATCGAATTTCCCGCGAGTGTACCGAGATTATGGTTCAGTCTTCTATACATACTACTGTTGTGGTCGGTTTATCATATTCTACTGACGTATACAGTAATATATTATGTGCTTGATCGTCCCATCTTATACCATGTTTGTTTTCGGCTCAACATATGTATGGCGCTATTGTTAGTTGTTCTTGGAATATATTACGACAAGGTAGGAGAATATTAGTACAATCACATATTAACCTCTTCAAGGATGAAATTATTAAGATCAAAAGAGTATAATTTAATTTTAGTCAAGTAAATATGACATCTATAATAATTTCTCTATGTGCCAGAAATACAGGAAATGTTTGAAGAAACTCGCTATCGTCGACGATACGCTAGAGAAACTCGGAACAACGACAGATTACCAAAAAGTATACATGACTATATTGTCAGTCGCCTTTGGATGGATCTCGTTTGCCATATTGTTAACCTACAGTAAAAGCTTTTGGTACAGAGATCGTTGCGGCCCTTTAAAAGCTTTTTATGTTAGTTTCTTGTTAGAGTACGGTTCATATGTTAATCTTATCGGCGATTTAATTATTACGAGTACTCTTGGGTTAGTATATTCTTCTGTAAAAATTATTTTAATAATTATACTCCAATAACAGAGAAAAGGATAGCCTTTTCTAAATCTTTAAAGAATTTAAAAAATTTCGACATAATATACTCACGTTAAACGGTAACTGTCATTATTCGCTAGTTTCTTTCGTACTCAGATATATCGAACTAAAATTCAACCAAATCAACGAGTACTTGCGGAAGTCGGGGGAAGTCAACGAGTACGATACAAAACGGGCTTGGGAACATTCCGTGTTGTCTCCGCGCCAGGTCGGATATCCGAAATCTTCGCACAACGAATGTGTCACGTGGATCGTAATGTATTATAAAAGTCCGCGAAAATTCAATAGATTCTGACGACCCCGTGCAGCGCGACTAATAACATG